TTATTGAGGGATGTCTTTGTGTGTGTTCATGTTAGTGTGTGTTTTTAAGGGTCTGTGTGTATTGTGTATTGAAGGTGTGTGTTTTCTATGATCTGGATTCACACCTGTTCACACTGCTGATGATCTGGAGTGAAGCTGATTGGCTCACCAGGGTTACCCAGATTGCCCTGCAGCACCTGTAGTTTGAGTTCTGCTGTTTATAATTTGACAGTTGTTTGTGACTGCAGCAACAGCTTTTATAGGTGGAGCTCAGCTGTCATTCACAGCACTGGCCAATCAGAGCCCAGCTGTTACATTATCACATATAGTCACACATCAGACTGTTGCGGTGTTTATTTTAGTCACACATCAGACTGTTGCGCTTATCAGACTGTTGCAGTGTTTATTAGAGTTTCACATCAGACTGTTGTAGTGTTTATTTTAGTCACACATCAGACTGTTGCAGTGTTTATTATAGTCACACATCAGACTGTTGCAGTGTTTATTATAGTCACACATCAGACTGTTGCGGTGTTTATTATAGTCACACATCAGACTGTTGCAGTGTTTTTTATAGTCACACATCAGACTGTTGCGGTGTTTATTATAGTCACACATCAGACTGTTGCAGTGTTTATTATAGTCACACATCAGACTGTTGCAGTGTTTATTAGAGTTTCACATCAGACTGTTGCAGTGTTTATTATAGTCACACATCAGACTGTTGCAGTATTTATTATTGTCACACATCAGACTGTTGCAGTGTTTATTTTTGTCACACATCAGACTGTTGCGGTGTTTATTATAGTCACACATCAGACTGTTGCAGTGTTTATTATAGTCACACATCAGACTGTTGCAGTGTTTATTATAGTCACACATCAGACTGTTGCAGTGTTTATTATAGTCACACATCAGACTGTTGCAGTGTTTATTATAGTCACACATCAGACTGTTGCAGTATTTATTATAGTCACACATCAGACTGTTGCAGTGTTTATTATACTAACACATCAGACTGTTGCAGTGTTTATTTTTGTCACACATCAGACTGTTGCAGTGTTTATTATAGTCACACATCAGACTGTTGCAGTATTTATTATAGTCACACATCAGACTGTTGCAGTGTTTATTATTGTCACACATCAGACTGTTGCAGTGTTTATCATTGTCACACATCAGACTGTTGCAGTGTTTATTTTAGTCACACATCAGACTGTTGCAGTGTTAATTAAAGTCACACATCAGACTGTTGTGGTGTTTATTATAGTCACACATCAGACTGTTGCAGTGTTTATCATAGTCACACATCAGACTGTTGCAGTGTTTATTATAGTCACACATCAGACTGTTGCAGTGTTTATTATTGTCACGCATCAGACTGGTGCAGTGTTTATTGTAGTCACACATCAGACTGTTGCGGTGTTAATTATAGTCACACATCAGACTGTTGCAGTGTTTATTATTGTCACGCATCAGACTGGTGCAGTGTTTATTTTTGTCACACATCAGACTGTTGCGGTGTTTATCATTGTCACACATCAGACTGTTGCAGTGTTTATTATACTAACACATCAGACTGTTGCAGTGTTTATTATTGTCACACATCAGACTGTTGCTGTGTTTATTATAGTCACACATCAGACTGTTGCAGTGTTTATTATAGTCACACATCAGACTGTTGCAGTGTTTATTATACTAACACATCAGACTGTTGCAGTGTTTATTATTGTCACACATCAGACTGTTGCAGTGTTTATTATTGTCACACATCAGACTGTTGCAGTGTTTATTATTGTCACACATCAGACTGTTGCAGTGTTTATTATTGTCACACATCAGACTGTTGCAGTGTTTATTTTAGTCACACATCAGACTGTTGCAGTGTTAATTAAAGTCACACATCAGACTGTTGTGGTGTTTATTATAGTCACACATCAGACTGTTGCAGTGTTTATTATAGTCACACATCAGACTGTTGCAGTGTTTATTATAGTCACACATCAGACTGTTGCAGTGTTTATTATTGTCACGCATCAGACTGGTGCAGTGTTTATTGTAGTCACACATCAGACTGTTGCGGTGTTAATTATAGTCACACATCAGACTGTTGCAGTGTTTATTATTGTCACGCATCAGACTGTTGCAGTGTTTATTATTGTCACACATCAGACTGTTGCAGTGTTTATTATTGTCACACATCAGACTGTTGCAGTGTTTATTATTGTCACACATCAGACTGTTGCAGTGTTTATTATTGTCACGCATCAGACTGTTGCAGTGTTTATTATTGTCACACATCAGCCTGTTGCAGTGTTTATTATTGTCACACATCAGACTGTTGCAGTGTTTATTATACTAACACATCAGACTGTTGCAGTGTTTATTATTGTCACACATCAGACTGTTGCAGTGTTTATTATTGTCACACATCAGACTGTTGCAGTGTTTATTATTGTCACACATCAGACTGTTGCGGTGTTTATTTTAGTCACACATCAGACTGTTGCAGTGTTAATTAAAGTCACACATCAGACTGTTGTGGTGTTTATTAGAGTTTCACATCAGACTGTTGCAGTGTTTATTATAGTCACACATCAGACTGTTGCAGTGTTTATTATAGTCACACATCAGACTGTTGCAGTGTTTATTATAGTCACACATCAGACTGTTGCAGTGTTTATTATAGTTTCACATCAGACTGTTGCAGTGTTTATTATAGTCACACATCAGTCTGTTGCAGTGTTTATTATTGTCACACATCAGACTGTTGCTGTGTTTATTATAGTCACACATCAGACTGTTGCTGTGTTTATTATTGTCACACATCAGACTGTTGCAGTGTTTATTATACTAACACATCAGACTGTTGCAGTGTTTATTATTGTCACACATCAGACTGTTGCAGTGTTTATTATAGTCACACATCAGACTGTTGCAGTGTTTATTATAGTCACACATCAGACTGTTGCAGTGTTTATTATAGTCACACATCAGACTGTTGCAGTGTCTATTATAGTCACACATCAGACTGTTGCAGTGTTTATTATAGTCACACATCAGACTGTTGCAGTGTTTATTATAGTCACACATCAGACTGTTGCAGTGTTTATTATAGTCACACATCAGACTGTTGCAGTGTTTATTATAGTCACACATCAGACTGTTGCAGTGTTTATTATAGTCACACATCAGACTGTTGCAGTGTTTATTATAGTCACACATCAGACTGTTGCAGTGTTTATTTTAGTCACACATCAGACTGTTGCAGTGTTTATTATAGTCACACATCAGACTGTTGCAGTATTTATTATAGTCACACATCAGACTGTTGCAGTGTTTATTATTGTCACACATCAGACTGTTGCAGTGTTTATTATTGTCACACATCAGACTGTTGCAGTGTTTATTATTGTCACACATCAGACTGTTGCAGTGTTTATTATTGTCACACATCAGACTGTTGCGGTGTTTATTGTAGTCACACATCAGACTGTTGCGGTGTTTATTTTAGTCACACATCAGACTGTTGCGCTTATCAGACTGTTGCAGTGTTTATTAGAGTTTCACATCAGACTGTTGTAGTGTTTATTTTAGTCACACATCAGACTGTTGCAGTGTTTATTATAGTCACACATCAGACTGTTGCAGTGTTAATTAAAGTCACACATCAGACTGTTGTGGTGTTTATTATAGTCACACATCAGACTGTTGCAGTGTTTATCATAGTCACACATCAGACTGTTGCAGTGTTTATTATAGTCACACATCAGACTGTTGCAGTGTTTATTATTGTCACGCATCAGACTGGTGCAGTGTTTATTGTAGTCACACATCAGACTGTTGCGGTGTTAATTATAGTCACACATCAGACTGTTGCAGTGTTTATTATTGTCACACATCAGACTGGTGCAGTGTTTTTTATAGTCACACATCAGACTGTTGCGGTGTTTATTATAGTCACACATCAGACTGTTGCAGTGTTTATTATAGTCACACATCAGACTGTTGCAGTGTTTATTATAGTCACACATCAGACTGTTGCAGTGTTTATTATAGTCACACATCAGACTGTTGCAGTGTTTATTATTGTCACACATCAGACTGTTGCAGTGTTTATTATTGTCACACATCAGACTGTTGCAGTGTTTATTATTGTCACACATCAGACTGTTGCAGTGTTTATTATTGTCACACATCAGATTGTTGCAGTGTTTATTATACTAACACATCAGACTGTTGCAGTGTTTATTATTGTCACACATCAGACTGTTGCAGTGTTTATTATTGTCACACATCAGACTGTTGCGGTGTTTATCATTGTCACACATCAGACTGTTGCAGTGTTTATTATACTAACACATCAGACTGTTGCAGTGTTTATTATTGTCACACATCAGACTGTTGCTGTGTTTATTATAGTCACACATCAGACTGTTGCTGTGTTTATTATAGTCACACATCAGACTGTTGCAGTGTTTATTATACTAACACATCAGACTGTTGCAGTGTTTATTATTGTCACACCTCAGACTGTTGCAGTGTTTATTATTGTCACACATCAGACTGTTGCAGTGTTTATTATTGTCACGCATCAGACTGTTGCGGTGTTTATTGTAGTCACACATCAGACTGTTGCAGTGTTTATTATTGTCACACCTCAGACTGTTGCAGTGTTTATTATTGTCACACCTCAGACTGTTGCAGTGTTTATTATTGTCACACATCAGACTGTTGCAGTGTTTATTATTGTCACACATCAGACTGTTGCAGTGTTTATTATTGTCACACCTCAGACTGTTGCAGTGTTTATTATTGTCACACATCAGACTGTTGCAGTGTTTATTATTGTCACACATCAGACTGTTGCAGTGTTTATTATTGTCACACATCAGACTGTTGCGGTGTTTATTGTAGTCACACATCAGACTGTTGCGGTGTTTATTGTAGTCACACATCAGATTGTTGCAGTGTTTATTATACTAACACATCAGACTGTTGCAGTGTTTATTATTGTCACACATCAGACTGTTGCAGTGTTTATTATTGTCACGCATCAGACTGTTGCAGTGTTTATTATTGTCACACATCAGACTGTTGCAGTGTTTATTATTGTCACACATCAGACTGTTGCAGTGTTTATTATTGTCACACATCAGACTGTTGCAGTGTTTATTATTGTCACACATCAGACTGTTGCAGTGTTTATTATTGTCACACATCAGACTGTTGCAGTGTTTATTATTGTCACGCATCAGACTGTTGCGGTGTTTATTGTAGTCACACATCAGACTGTTGCAGTGTTTATTATACTAACACATCAGACTGTTGCAGTGTTTATTATTGTCACACATCAGACTGTTGCAGTGTTTATTATTGTCACACATCAGACTGTTGCAGTGTTTATTATTGTCACACATCAGACTGTTGCAGTGTTTATTATTGTCACACATCAGACTGTTGCAGTGTTTATTATAGTCACACATCAGACTGTTGCAGTGTTTATTATTGTCACACATCAGACTGTTGCAGTGTTTATTATTGTCACACATCAGACTGTTGCAGTGTTTATTATTGTCACACATCAGACTGTTGCAGTGTTTATTATTGTCACACATCAGACTGTTGCAGTGTTTATCATTGTCACAGGTTTTGTTGCAACGCATCAGTGTTGTGTTTTGAGTGTTTGTGTGTGAGTCTTTCTGTGCTGTGATTAGGGGATGTTTGGTGTGTCCACAGCATCAGTGTTCATCTCTCTCTCTCACGCTCTCTCTCTTTCTCTCTCTCTCTCTTTTTCTCTTTGCTGTCAGGAGCCATGGGTGTGCGAGAGCGGCCCCTGAGTGGCCCTTGAGTGCCGCAGACGCGTGTCCTGACCTCACTTCTTCTTCTTCAGTCTCCACTCTACTTCTTTCGGACTCTTTCTCATGGCTCCGGCCGGCCGGACTGCAGCGGCGGCGGGGTCTGTGTCTGCATGCGGCGCTGCGCTGGAGACGCCGTGCCGTCTGTGACTCCGCCCCTGAGCTGGACTTCCTCTTCTGAGCGTCAGGATGCGACGCGGCGCCGACACGCAGACGAGCGCCTGATCTGCAGGAGTTTAGCACTGGACCATAAACATGAATGGTGGAAAAGAGCGGGAGGGTACCTTCGCCCAGGTGCCCATCGGCTGGCAGAGGAAGCTGGAGGCCTCCGGTGTCCTGTACATCAGGTATGTATGCATAGGCCCCTTTACACTGATGCAGTTTAGTTTTAAAGCGATCCGCGTCCACACTGGTGTTTCAGCTAGTGTTTCTGAACAGCTCTCCGTCCACACTACACTGCTGCACACACACATCACGTGACCACACACACACACACACACTATGTGCGCGTCTGAGCTCCAGGCAGTCAGTGGGTGTTTAAGCACAGCTCTCCAGGTGAGAGCAGTGCAGGTCAGACAGCTGATGAAGGATCTCCTGCTCGATCTGATCTCATTTTAGTTGGTAATGGTGGTCTTGAACTCATCTGGTCTCCATCTGATGACTCTCGGCTCTTCTTAATCTATTCTTGTTCTCAGGTAAGGTGTCTTAGCTGAGTGCAGAGATCAGTTTCTTTATTAATGTGTGTGGGCTTAAATTTAAAGAGCCCCTATTATACATGAAATATGGTCATATTTTGGTTGTAAGTGTCTCCAACAACAGTCTAATGCATGCAAGGTCAAAAACACTTTCATGGTCTTATAATCTGCATTTAGTTTTACCTGATTATCCCAGCGACTTTCATATGAATCGTTCAGCGATTCATCTGTTACTGAACACCTCCTTAGCGTGAAGCTAATCTGCGCTTTGTTGGTCGACACTGACTGCCTTCAGAGCGAGACAGAGTGAAATGCCCAGCAGCTAATCAACAATATTAAAGTAGTCAGAGTGCACACGCTTCAGCTTCATAGTGCGAGGCGTGGATTTTAGATGTGAATGCTATTATAGACGATGGACTTTTAAATACCGAAAATTAATTTTGCTCTCTCTCTCTCTCTCTCTCTCTCTCTGTTTCTCTCTCTCTCTCTCCCTCTCTCTCTCTCTCTCTCTCTCTCTCTCTCTCTCTCACTCTCTCTCTCTCTCTCGCTGTCTGTGTGTGTGTGTGTGTGTGTGTGTAGCCCCAGCGGATCAGTGCTGTCCTGTCTCGAGCAGGTCAAGTCTTACCTGCTGACCGATGGCACCTGTAAATGTGGTCTGGAATGTCCACTCATCCTCCCGAAGGTCATTCAGAACCCCCCTTCACCCCACATTTTCCCACACATATTCCCCCATTTCCACCCACTTTTCCCCCCCCTATACACACACACACACAAACACACACACACACATATACACACACACACACACACACACACACACACACACACACACACACACACACACACACACACACGTACCTGAGCACCTTGATTTCTGCATCTCCACTATTATAATAATCTATTTTCCCCTGAGCCAGCGCTGCAGTCCATCACGCCTTCACTGCATTTGAGTTGGGCCAGACAGTGACATGACAAGCGTTTAGACTTCCTACATTAGAATAACACACGACATTAACCCAGTTGATCCTCCTCATTCAGACAGTGTTTACTCAGCTGAACTCTGACCCTCAGCTCGCGCCTGTCTGACTGAAACACCACACAGACAAGCGGAGCTGCGCCTGTATGCTGACTCTCAGGTGTCGCTGTGAAACGTCTGATTCCTCAGGTTTTTAACTTTGACCCTGGAGCGGCGGTGAAGCAGCGGACAGCAGAGGACGTGAAGGCTGACGAGGACGTGACGAAGCTCTGCATCCACAAGCGGAAGCTGATCGCGGTGGCGGCGCTGCATAAGAGCATGGAGCTGCAGCCGCCGGCGCTCACGCTCACCAGCCCCGGAGGAGGCACCAGTACGTCTGATCACAGTAAACAGACATCTGATTAGCCTTTAGTCAATGATTGCTTCTGCATGTTGTTGCTCAGTATACTGCATATGTTACACTCTCCTGACCTTCTATTTACTGCATCGTGACTTTATCAGTTGTGTTGATAATATAATTAGCCATATTAGCTCGTACAGTAAGTACGTAGTAAGAGCTCTCGTGTTGAAATGTCCGGTTCTCGAGTGCTTGACCGTGCTCTGTGTGCCCGCAGGTGTGAGCTCCATGTCTGCCGCTCCGCCTCGAGCAATAAGAAATAAGACCCACGAGAGCCAGCCGGAGTGCAGGAACCCCTTCAAGACGATGATGGCGGCTGGGCAGCGGCACTTCTCTCCGGACCTGTGCCCGCAGCAGCAGCAGGACGGGTTCCCTTCATACCCGCGGCAGAGGCTGAGTGAGCCCGGGCACAGGTCTCCATACCGCAGTGGGCACAGTAGCATGCTGAGCCCTCCGGTGCAGCCCTTCGGGGACAGTTCGGTTTCTCCCAGGACGGATGCTCTCGGCAGTCCTGACGGGGTTCTCCGTGGCACGGCCTGTGGGTTTCAGGGCACCGGCAGCCCTGGAGCTGTCCACAGCAGCAGCCGCGTCCCTCTGTCGTCCCCGGGTGTCCTGGCACATGGTTCACCCGTTGCCCCATCCTCCTGTGTCATGGCGGGCAGGACTAACATGCCTCTGTCGCCCCCTGTGCCCAACAAGAGCCCCGTCATGAAAAAACCCCTGTGCAACTATCCGCCCGGCATGGACTCCAGCAGAGGTGTGTTTCACCATAAGGCCCTGTCTGTGTCTGCGCCCACCCTGCCGCCGCCCTGCGCCCTGCAGAATAAACCGCTGAGCTCTGAAAAAGACCCACTCGGCATCCTGGACCCCATTCCCAGTAAACCCACCCCATCCCCTTTCCAGTCCAGCGCCCACTCTCAGGTACCAATGATGAATGTAAACATCCCGCCCGCCATCGTCCCACTGCCTAGTAACCTGCCCTTGCCCACGGTGAAGCCGGGCCCGGTGGGACACATGCAGAGGGCACCGCACGCCACGTCCATATCCCCGTCTCCCGTCACGTCCCCTGTGCACATGTCTGTGCCCGCGCTGGGTCGTGTGGAAGCATCTCCTCAGCGCTCCCGGTCCTCGTCCACCTCCTCGGAGCAGGGCAGCTTCGCCGTGCCCCCATGTGGCAGCATGAAGGTGCCGCCGCGCTCGCCCCGCTCTGCCATCAGCTCTCCGCGCCCTGCTCTGCCCTCCAGCCCGTCTGCCAAGCCGGAAGCTCTTCATTCGTACAAAGATGTGCCCGCCCAGCTGCTGGCAGGGATGAGTGGCATGAGCGGTCAGCACAACCCCATGTACCCGCCTGCCCCAGCGGGTGCTGGGCCGCAGAAGGAGCACCCAGGTCTGCTGGGGATGCCACTGAACCAGATCCTTAACCAACACAACGCTGCCTCTTTCCCTGCCAGCAGCCTCCTCTCAGCTGCCGCCAAAGCACAGCTAGCAAATCAAAACAAGCTAGGCAGTGGTGGTGGCGCGGTGGGCACGGGGGCGTCCGCTGGGCTCTCCTGCCCGCTCACTACACCGGACCCCAGCAGACCGACGGAGGGCCACGCTGCGCTGAACCCCATGCTGCCGCCCAACCCCGCCATGATGATGCCCAGCGGCGAAGCTCAGAGCGGGCGCGCTGCCCTCCGGGACAAACTCATGGCACAGCAGCGTGACCCCATGCGCAAGAGGAAGCATCCTGCAAGCGTTGCCCACCACGAGAACAGTTTTTTCAACATGGCTGGCATAAGGACACCGTGCCCGCCGGCCGAGCAGATGAGGAAAGCTGCCCGCCTGCCCTCCAACACGTCTATGGCGCAGCTGCTGCAGTCTCTGAGTAACCACAGCTCCCACAGGGGCAGGAGTCCAGCCCTCGCCAGCCCTGGGCGGGCACACTTTGGGGAGGGGGCACAGGTACAGCAGCGGGGACATGGGCAGCCCGACTCTATGCACTGCCCTGCCGTGGAGCCCCAAAGCCACTACTCTGGCATGATGAACCAGATGCAGCCCACGGCCATGGGCAACTGCGCACCCGTGAACCACAGTGGTGCAGTTCCTCTGGCCAACCACATGATGGCGCACACAGGCACTCACTTTCAGCAGCACGTCCAGCCTAATGCCAACTGCATTCTGCCCGGCGGAGAGTCCTGCTGCCCGCAGCCCATGGCAGATGCAGGTAAAGACCCCTGATGCTGTTTGGATGAGGTATTTCACTGATGTCTGAAATGTTTTAGCTGTGTTTGCTCCTCATGATCAGCAGCTCTGTGTGTTTAATAACACATGTGCTCTGCTGGGGTCTCGGTAAACAAAACA